TGACATGGGCTAATGACATTAACAAGATCGGAGGACACAACTGGAAGTAAGTGGCGCAAAATGGAAAACACTAGATTGATTTGGGGGAGGTCGATGTCCTAAGTTGGATTACTTAAGGCTGAAGAAGAAGAGGAATAGTGGTAGCCTTTGGAAAAAACATTACTTGACTGCTTGGCTTTTGACCCCCTCAATTATGTCTTGGAGAGTTATAGAGAACGTTATAAGCAACAGAGACAACTTGCTTACCAGATTTGTTTAATAGCATTATGGAAATTGGAAAACAATTGTGTATAATTAAGTCATCGATAAGCTTCTTCGAGAAACTTATTACTTTTATGAAACGTTTATAAATTTGTTTAAGAAGTGATTTCGTTTATATTTATTCACACGATTCAAATAAACACCGATAAATTCGATAAAATTGCTGGTAAATATTATGGAGACAACGTCTATAAGTCAATTTTGCAAGTATCTACAATTAAAGATTGATTATTGTTATCATCTAACTGTTACCAATTTTCAACAAGTCATTATTCATTTATATATAAACAATTAACTATCAGAACATAACAACAAACTACAATGGCAATGATTTCTGTATTTATTCTACAAGTAAATAGAATATAGTGTTGACATTAATACTGTAGTGTACATTTTCTTAAACATCAATAGTGACAAGTTTTAGTGAAAAGTTTGTATTTGAAAGCAGTACAATGACATAGAAGGTAGTTATAGTTTAAAACAGAGTTTAATAGACTTATTCAAGTTATTTTTTAATGTATGTGAATTAAAAATCTGAAGTACTTTTCCCACGTATGAATTTTTTGAGATGCGATCGCAAGGCAGAGAGAGCTAAATTTAGCAAATTGAGTGAATGTTTCAACCATTTGTAATTTAATTTACTGATTTTCGCTGTGATTTGTTGGCTTATATTTTCTTCTCAAAACTTATACTTAACTATATATATATATATATATATATATATATATATATATATATATATATATTATATATTATATATATATATATATATATATATATCGGTTTAGAACGTCTTTCGACGTTGTCCGATACCTAAACACCATCTCTTCCTATCTTCGCAGTCGTTTGTTGTTAAATCTGGGTCTTCCTCTTTTCCGTCGACCTATCGGTTGCCATTCTACTACTTTTTTGGGGAGTCTTGTTGCTGGCATCCGTTGAACATGCCCATACCATCTTAATCGTTTCTTCTCTATATCTTGAGTTATATTTCCTTCTATTTCCATACGTTGTTTTATTACATCATTTCTGATTCGGTCTCGTCTGGAAATACCTAAAGATCTTCTCATTGCATCCATCTCTACTGCTTCTATTCGCTTTTTGTTCTTTTCACTAATTCTCCATGTTTCAGCGCCATAAAGAAGAGTAGTTTTAATCATCTCCTCTCTCTCTTTATCCCACAATCTCTTTACTCCACAGTATACCATTGAGCCATCCTAACATTTTCTTTGCTTGAGTGATTCGTTTTTCTATTTCCCGTGCATCAGTTCCTGTATTGTCAAAGGCAACACTCAAGTAGTCATAGCTCTGACAGCAGGAAATATGTTGTCCGTTTTCGAGGTCTATGTTATCTGACTCGTTTCCAATACAAAGATATTTGGTTTTTGTTGTATTGGCATTCCCCAGTCGTATAACTTATACTAGAACTTATAAATTAATAAACTCATCCTTGTATTATTATAATTCATTAAACCTGAAGAGTCCTGTTCCAGTTTTAATAATCATTTACGAATTTTTTCAGTGCTACACGTTCATACGTGTTCATCAAATATTAATACCATATTCTTAACTTTAAAGCGCCATTGCTTGTTGAACGATAAAACTTATTGAAGATGAGTTCTTGATTTAATGTTCCAAATAACTTTAGATTTAGATCAACATTATATCAATACACTTAGATTGTCTTCATCATCATGTTTACTGTATTTAAACTTTAGTTGCTGTGTGGTGTCAGGGCTTTTTCAATTATCTTGTTACAAGTCAACCTTTATTTTTGGTAAAACATATTTCTATTTGCCACTTTATCTTCTAGATCGCAAATAAAATTCCGAAAATAGTTATCATCATCTTTGGCTCTACAACCCTGGGTGGATCTTGGCCTGTTCAAGAATTAGTATCCATTACCCCCTATCTTTCGCCCTGGCTTTCCAATTTTTGACCTCCAGATTCCTCAAGTCATCTTCGACTTGAGTTTTACATCTAGATCTTGGCCTTCCTCTCTTCTTGGTTCCTACTGGCTCTTGATATAATATCTGTCTTTGGGGGTCTCCAGTGTCCATTCTTTCAAGGTGTCCTAGCCACCTTAGTCTATTAATTTTAATAGACAGTACGATATTGCATTTTCATAATTTGATACAACTTAAAATTGTAGCGCCTGCGCCATATCCCGCTTTCTTGTTTTCCTCCATATATGTCCTAAGTATTCTTCTTTCAAAGCTGCCTAACAGTTCTTCGTCGCTTTTTACCATAGTCCATGTCTCTGACGCGTACGTCAGGACAGGTTTAATAAGAGTTTCATATATTAGTTTCATATATCTTGGTTTTTCTGCTAAATATGTGTGATGTTAAGAACTGCTTTAGTCCAAAGTACGCTCTGTTCACTAGCTATATTCATTCTTCTTTTAATTTCTACGCTTACAAGGTTGCTGTTATTTAGTTGTGTTTCAAGATATATAAACTTCTAGACTCCTTCGAATGTGTGTGCTTCTGTCACCAGATCTTTTGGTGCCGCTATTTGTGTGCTGTTCGTGACCTGCATGTATTTTATTTTGGATACGTTGACCTGCAGTCCTATTGTCTTCTAGGCTTTTTCTAATATTTAAAAAGCCTGTATCAGGTCTCTTTTTGTCCGTGTTACTATGTCAATGTCATCTGCGTAGGCCAATATCTGTATACTTCTATTGATGATCGTACCTCTGATTGTTATGCCCGATTTCTCTGTGGCTCTTTCTAGCGCGATGTTAAACAATAGGAACGATAGACTCTCTTCCTGGCGTAATCCAGTATGTGCTTGAAAAGACCTTGATACTCTGTTTTGTTCCTTGACTTTGCACTCAACTTTCGAAAGAGTTGCCTTTACCAGTGTTATTAGATGCGAGATAATATCTAGTTCTGCCATGGCATTATCCGAAATATCTGACACTAGTACGTTGAATAAAAACTAATTTTACAATTTTTATTTATCACAAAAAAAATATCTATTAGATCTTGCCGTACTGCTCATCCAGAGTCTTCGTCTATTTTTTCTACCGTAAGGGGTCCACATTACTTGGATTTGTTTTTGATTTTGATAAGGGAATTGTTTTGGGAGACGTTCTTCAGACATTCTGTATACATGACCGTACCATCTGAGAGCGCCCACAAAACCGGCGTGGCAAGTGGCAAGTAGCAAGTAGCATGCGTCTAGCATGTTACCTAAAATGTATCCAATGGAAACGAATGATTAGAATGAATGATGTCACTGTCATTTTGGTGTGTGCTGAATCATTCGTTCCCATTGGTTACATTTTAGGTAACATACTAGACGCGTGCTACTTGCTACTTGACACTTGCCACGCCAGTTTGGTGGGAGCTCTCCCTTACTTTCTAGTCTAGATTTTACAGCTAAACGTCTCCAGAAATCCATTTCAGTTGCCTCAGGTTTTCTCTTGTGTCGTTTCTTTATTTGCCATACTTCACTACTGTAGGTAATTATACTTTTAATGATTGTTTTATATATCTTGTGCTTGGTATTATTAGAGATTGATTGATCCCAAAGGATACTATTGAGAAAGGAAATTGCTTTTCTTAATTGATTGTTTTTCTTCTCAATTGTGTCGTCGGCGTTGCCTTCTTTTGTGACGTTCATACCTAAATATTTATATGTGTTACAATGTTTGATAACTTCTCCATCTTCCAATATGAGGTCCTGCTGTTTCCCGCCGATACACATATACTCGGTTTTTTTGATATTTATTTCAAGTCCCCATTTTTTATACTCCTCCAATAATTTTCGAGTCATATACTCAATATCTTCATAATCTTGTGCTATCACTAGTTGATCATCTGCAAATGACAAAATGTATATGCTAGTGTTGTTAATCGGCATTCCCATATTTCTACATTTGCGCTTCCACAGTTCTCAGTTAGAGCCTGATCTAGATAAATTTTAAATAATGTCTGGGAGGGACAGCAGCCCAGCTTAAGGTCTTTATTCATTTAGAATCCACTCGGCAGATTATGCCCAACCTTTACCTTTGAGTTAGCATTTTCGTACAGTTCCTTCTTCGCATTTATTAAATTCATGCTTACGTTTGTTTTCCCTAACGCTTCTTATAATTCATAATGTGGTACGCTATCATAAGCCTTTCGTAGGTCTACATACAATAAATGTACTTCTTGATTAACGGCTATTTTCTTTTCAATATTTTGTGCATTGCAAAACAAACTGTCAACAGTAGATCTACCTGCCCTAAATCCTGCCTGTTCCTCAGCCTCTAAGTCTTTATATTCGCTTTCTATTCTGTTTTTAATTACTTTTTCGTGTATTCTACTGACTGAGTTTGTCACAGCAATGCCTCTGTAATTGTTATATTCATCCCTTCTGCCTTTTTGTGTATAGTGGATATGAATGATGTCTTCCACTCTTCTGGGGTTGTCATTCAATTAATGCAGTTTTGGAACAGTTTGGCTAAACTTGTATTTAGTTTGGTTGTACCATGTTTAATTAACTCTGCAGGGATGTTACCTGGATGGTCGATCCTGGTCGACCAGATACATGAGCGTATTCAGTTAAAGTACCAGATTTTTTATGAATTTTAAACTACTACGCTGCCTTTTTGTTATTCTATGCCAGGCCTGGGCTTGAACCATCGCCGAGAAATCATTAACAGTGAAGCTAATGCGAGTCGGCGCCTGACCACTGGGCTATCTGACCGACCAAAATAAAATCAAAAGGGCATAAAAATAAATGCTTAAAGCACAGTGTTATTTAAATATATTTAAGATATATATTTTGTTTCAGAAAACCTGCCGACTCCATGACGTCAGAAGGAGAAAGGTGTGGGGGATTAGGATCTTTTTTGGCGATGTCTTGCAGGGGAAGGGCGGAAGCCTTCGCCAGGAGGTTGCACACCAAACTCAGATCTTTGGGCTCCCAGGATGAAAACGGCTCGGCTGATGAGAGCAGCTGGTTGGCAGCTCACGAAAATCCCATTACCATATCACAACCTGCTCATTCGGCCAACGCTGAACAGTTTTTAGGTAAGCGACATTGAATTAGTGGTGGTTGTTTTGTTTTGTGATTAAAAATAAATCCTTGTTGACCTCGTTAATAACGTCGTCCTTACTATATGTTACAAATTCTGATAATAGACACAATAATGTAGTTGAATTTTCCTATAACAAGGAAAATCAAACTACAAGAAAAGGCGTATCAGATCGGCCTTGATACAGAATAATATATTAAACTGAAATATAAAAGAGTAAAGCTAAACTGAAATATAAAATAGGTTGTAAAAAGCAATTAGAAAAATGTCCAACTAGAAAAATAAAAATCATTCTATTACTAGATCTAAAGCAAATAATGGCGGTAATATTAAGCATTCCATAGATTTTTCTTCAGTTAAAAATGCAAATATCAGTGCCTATAGCCTCAACTCAAAAATACGCCTTGAGATGTAAAAGTTGCGTAAATGGAACACCTTCAATCAAACACGTACACCAGAGAAAACACTAAAAAAAGACCGGAAAGGCTGGAAAAATCCAGCAGGAAGAGCAATAATGTGTTGGATACCATCAGACAAAAAATAAAAGAAAGATATTTTAAGATATGATGGAAGTAATAGAAGAAATGTATTATTAAAAATTTGGAGAAGAGAAGCAGGAAAAAAAACTGATAATAGAAAAGAATGTTCCAATTAAGACAGTCTGGAATAACTATACAACAGTAGACTGGACAAAAAACTAAAAAAAAAAGACTTGTGGTGAAAGGTGGCATTACAACAGGTGAAAAATAGATAATACACACACACACACACAAACACACACACACACATATATATATATATATATATATTTATATATATATATATATATATATTTATGATATTGAATTAGTGTCAGCTGATTAATATTAAAATCTTATCGGCAAATTGTACAAATGGATAACCACACTCACACAATTGGGATCAATGTTTTTTCACAGCAGAAGATAAGCCACAGTCTGTAATGTAATTGATTATAAACACAACAATATAACAACATCTCTTAAATGATATTATTAATATGAGACAAAAGATCTTAAAGTAAACATTTCCTGCTGGTTGTCTATAGGTTTTTTTAGGGTAACGACCTATTTTTGTTGTGTAGTTTCTTGTATTTGGGATTATGCTGTACTTCTTCTTGCAGTGCCCTATCTAAACGAGAGAGGTGACTGGTGCCACCGGGATGACTATCCCGTGTGAGAACCGAAAGAGGAATCTTTAAGATACCGGTATGTAACTATATACTGTCCTTCACAGGAACCGATTGAGGAGTCTTTAAGTGCCGCTGGGAAGACTGTCCCTTATTACAACCGAGAACAAATAAACATTACTGACCCAGTTCTAGGTAGACAAAAAACTTGTTTTTTTGTAATGAATTAGAGAAGCTGTTGGTACTAGGAAAAACATTCAATAAAAATAATAACTTTTATATTGAGAAGAGACGAATTGGCGGTAACATAATATCGAAGTGTGTTTAGATACCAAAAGAAACAACCTGTTCTAGCAGGCCTCTCAACGGAAAAGGGATGAGACCAAAAACTCGTTTTATTTGAGCTAAGACATATCAAAAATAAATAGAATATATTTTGGTGTTTTATTAATAATTGTATCAAAAATAATAAGGAATTATTAGTGACATGTTAAAACTTCAACAATATCATTCTTCTTTTTCTTATTGCGCCGTGTTCTTTTGCCCTGCACTTTACCTTCCAATATGATATGGAGTCATTTATATCTTTCACTCTAAATTTATGGTCATCAGCAAAAATAAAATTAGAGACCTCCAACTCCTTATCAAGAATAGACCAATGGACCAAGTAAAACAGTTTACCTATCTTGAAACAAAAGTAAACGAACAATGGGATCCCTCACAAGAAGTAAAATGTCGAATATAGAAGACTAGGAGTAAATTCAATAACATGTCCAAACTCTTTAAAAGCCACAACATTAATCTGGATATACAAGTAAGGCTCCTACGATGGTATATCTTCTCGATATTATACTATGGAGTTGAATCCTGGACACTCACTGAAGCGATGAAGAACAAACTTGAAGCCTTCGAGGTGGCTATACAGAAGAGTCCTAAGGATATCATGGACGGACAAGATAACCAATGAGAGTGTACTACGCAAAATGGGGAAAGAAAGAGAAGTGATATAGATTAATAAAAATAATCCTTCAAGGTAAAGTATTTAGAAAGCGAGGAATTAGGAGAAGAAGAATATCATGTTTAAAAAAACTGAGGAAACGGATCTTCACATGAACATGCGTACCTTGTAACTTCTGGAGTATTATTTATAAAATTGGTCATGTTATAAATACTACTACTACTAGTAATCTACATGCAATCTACATGCAATAGACAACAGTCTATTGCATTTACCTTCATAAACACCTTGAGGATAACAATCGTAAAATAGTTTCGAAACACAATTCAGATTTCTGCTTTATAATCTGAGGCTTCTAAAAATTGCAAGGCTAACAGACATTGATAAAAGATGTTAAAAGAGACATGGGGAATCTAAAATTTGCATTCCACGACATGTCTTTTACAACTAAGCAGAAATCCTTAGGGAATTGTGCTTCTTGTACTGACACAGAGTAAATCCGAATTGTGTTTCGAAACTATTTTACGATTGTTATAATTAGATGTCGCTATTGCGTCCGTATTGAAGCCATGTTATTGTTGCTTCTTAAAAGGCAGAAAATATTGATTTTTCGCGTTGAGAAGCCCTATGAATAGCTCTTCTGACGAGACCTATTAGGTCAAAATACGTATGTATTGTTAAGTTTATATAGTTCTAATTTATTTGTCTTTATTCTAATTTATTGTCTATAATCTAATTTATTAAAACTCACGATAGCTAATTACTAATTTATTAAATAACTTTACAAATGTATCACGTTTCGTTACATTTAAATATCGCGGTTCCCGAGCTTCTTATGACTGACTTCTTCAATAAAATTTCGTTCTTATATAAAGAACCGTAAGACCGCCTAGACCTGACCTGACCCTTGGCGAAAATACTGGAATGATCTCGTATTTTGGTGAAGGCGCTCGACTCGTTTTTCAACTGTTTGAAAAGCCTCGAGACGTGGATTATTCATAAAATTAGGGTCTAGAGGTTTCTGTAAACAACTTCGAATTTACTAGAACAGAAAACAGAATTAGTCATAATATATTGATAGTTATAAACGCCATAATTATCGTAACAGTATCAAGAGATACATAGGATTTGTTTACGTGAAATCAAATATTTGCTGCCTTTTCTCATTTTATTCGGATTTACTCTGTGTCAGTACAAGAAGCACAATTCGCTAAAGATTTCTGCTTAGTTGTAAAAGACATGTCGTGGAATGCAAATTTTAGATTCCCCATGTCTCTTTTAACATATTTTATCAACGTCTGTTTGCCTTGCAATTTTTAGAAGGCTCAGATTATAAAGCAGAAATCTGAATTGTGTTTCGAAACTATTTTACGATTGTTGTAATTAGATGTCACTATTGCGTCCGTATTGAAGCCATGTTATTGTTGCTTCTTAAAAGGCAGAAAATATTGATTTTTCGCGTTGAGAAGCCCTATGAATAGCTCTTCTGACGAGACCTATTAGGTCGAAATACGTATCAAGAGATACATAGGATTTGTTTACGTGAAATCAAATATTTGCTGCCTTTTTTCACCTTGAGGATAGTTTTTTAATACGGAGTTCTCTATTATGTTTTCATGTGGCCATACAATGTTTTTTGACAACTTTTTATTAAACTGATGATGGAATGAGTCAATTCCGAAAAGATCTTCTTTAAAATAAAAAAATTTTAAGCTTTTAATAAGCATTTTTTTATACCTCAATACACACGGCCACCACGCGCTTTATGCATGTATTCAACAGGTATACTAACCACTCCTGGATATCTCCACTTCATGGTTTGTTCCAGTTTCCCTTTTAATTTTAAATTGACGATATGGTTATTTGGGCTAACCAATACATTCATCTGGCTACAAGGAGGAAACAATTAAAGTTGGACATATGGTTTATCCACCAATGTATTAATAATAAAGTAGTTCCTGTATTCGCTAGAGTTAAAACATCAAAAAATGTACCCAGTACATAATGTTAATCAACTACAAACCAAACTCCTCAGGAAAGAAGTAGGCAAACATTATTCCAAGTTAGATAACAATAGTAATCTACAAATCAACAGTCTATTGCATTTACCTTCATAAACACCTTGAGAATAGTTTTTTAATACGGAATTCTCTACTATGTTTTCATGTGGCCATACAATGTTTTTTTGATAACCTTTTATTAAACTGATGATGGAATGAGTCAATTCCGAAAAGATCTTCTTTAAAATACAAAAAATTTAAGCTTTTAATAAGCATTTTTTATACCTCAATACACACGATCACCACGCGCTTTGTGTTCTACAGGATGTTGTACGTAGAATGAAACAGCAGAATTATCACTACTTTCTTCCTCACTCTCACTACTTGTATTGTTTTCTGTTTATAATATGCAGTCATCTCTCTCTGACACGTTCGCTAGCTTGCGAAGCTGATCTTCGGTTAGCGTTCTTCGATGTGACATTATCAACATGCAAACATACACTGAAATTTGAAATGTAAATGAATGCGTTTGGCATATCAGTGTCCTACCAGCCTACCACTTGTCTATCACCCCCATTTGCTTATATGTGACATGCCCTTCTAAATGACATCGTCCAGCTACACTACACATGTTTTATAAGTTTTAGCTTGCAGAAACTTGTTTCTATTTATAGACGTACCTAACTGACAAACTGTTAGAAAATATATAAAATACTGCCAACTAAACATACGTCCACAGGTAATTTTTAACGGTTTAAATACGTAGGTCATACCCACCCGAACGTACTATAGGTAACAATTTAATTTTTATAAAAAAAATCAGAAAGTTAATTTTTTATCTCGTATGCAATTGAAAGACTTCATCTCTCTCTTCAATCCTGACCCCCCAG